ATCAATGTTGCTTCCACATTTAATACAATTTTTGAGCTGGTAACGTTATAACGATTTTTTGAATACCCACGCGTTGTCTCTATAGAAAATTGATTCTCCAAACTATCTTTGCTTAATTTTCCAGTCTGGAGCTAATGACAACCCTTTTCCTATTGCTTCGTATATAATTTTATGACAGCGTTTATTGTAAGAAGTAACTCATCAAAACATGGAGGGCTTTCAAATTTACCCCTTTTTGAAATTTTATCGATATCTTCAATATTATTTATCTAAACAGGATTTAGTATTTGACGTAAAAAAGTTACCAGGCCCTAGTTACATGTTAACCCTCGTAACATGGTTGAGTTTGATCTATGACGAATCAGAAAAAACACTTAACTAATATTTTTGAATGCACTAGAAGTATATTTAACGCCATCAAAATCGATAGGGTGGTTTTTAAATAAACCCGAAAAAATAAGGGTGTTCGCCCCTTTTCATGCTGTGGTATACGTACCCCAACTAGCAATTTCTTATTTTATTAAAGCTGTAAAAAGCGTTTTGTAAAGTATGTAGAATAGGTACAAATATAACTTCAGTTTTATACTTTATGGTTACAAGTTTACATTTTATATTATTTACTGGGCAGGTTTTGATGTACGATGAATCAGTAGAAATTGATTTAAAAATATTTAGGTAAGATGATTTGATAGGTCTCTCAAAACAATCTTTCAAGTCACGAATGACGTTACCTCTTATAATTATTTTCCCATCTACTAGTAAGGCACATTTCATAGCTACAATATTATTATCAAAGTCTAAGAACCATTTATCATGCTTTCTTGTGGATAAAAAATACCCATTAAATTCAATTTTAATAAAGAATCCTTCTTCACTTTTTTCTTTGAGTATTGGAAAAGTTAAATTTTTGTTAAATCTGAAATAATCCATTTCACAATGTATAACTTCACTCATACGTTTCGCTACTTGTGCCACTGGCAAATTTCCGTTTCTTAACAAGTTCTTGATTAAATATAATCTATTTTCAAAAGGATGAGCATTACAAGAAGGCAAAGGTCCGATTCTTCGAACTTTATCGACTAAATGTGTGAGATTGTGTACTTTTGCTGGTAATAAAATTTTCTCCATAGATATCGGCAGAGTCCTCTACAAAACTTTCAAGTAGCGTTTGAGCTAACGTCAGAAAACATTTGTAGGTATTACATGAGCAAATAGTTATTGCACAAAATAATTTCAAAAAATGTTCGTATATATCTAAAGATAATACGTCTTTTAGTATCACTGTTCCAAGATAATGCAAAAATGTGTGATACTCTGTACCCTTCCAGTGACATAAAACGTCTAAACCACGAACAGCTCTATGAACTTCAGAAGGCATTTTACAGTTCTGCAGGAAATTTGAAACAGAGCTAATTTCCCTTGCAGACCATTTACTTCTATAGTTGCCAAAACTACCATCTCTCCAACCCAATAAACACTTCTTCATTATACCTAAATCAATTAAATGAAGAGAATCACTAATTGGAAAGTCTTCAATCATATCTATATCTAGCGAGGTTAGTGGAGTCTCTTGTTTGTGATGTGAACCATATGCTTTTTTGCGAAAAGCAGCATCTGTTCTTTTCTTGCATCCTGATGTTGGAAAATAGACAGTATGAGATATATAAGAATATTCACCTATTGTGGTACATTTAAGACATCCTTGTTTGCTATTAAAGTTTGCAACACCTGCAGAAAAACATATTTTATCATAAAAAAGTAAATTGTTATGGTATTTTTTTAGAAATATTTAGAATATTTCAGTTTTACCTTTCACAAAAGCTCTAGCAGGCGAATCGCATATAAAGCATCTTAATTTCACTATAACTTTCTTATTATCGATTATTAAACCTTTTGATAATATTACCTTTGCTTCTTTTGTAAAAGGTTGTAAATAAGCCGACAAATCAGCGGGTTTTCCTTTGCCACAATAAATACCAATGATCATTGGTCGCACTTCAGGCAATTCATGAGTATTGAACAATATCGACCAAAATTCAATTCTACTACTTTTGTATATAGGCAATCCATCTATATTAATATTTACAGAAATATAAGCTGGAGGGTCTGACACTTGGGAAACAATTTGCTTTAATGCACATTCAAAACCATTATGCCAATCATGCCCATTCCCTACTTTTATCATCGTAATAGTTGGATAAGTTTTTAACAAAGTTCTGGAATCTTGAGGAAGTACAATTGTAAAATTCTGATTTAAGATATGAAAAAGGTCTCTTAGTGCTAAGTGAGATATGCGATGTTGAACTGCCCATTTTCTTATATCACTTCTAAATGTTACCTTTTTATTGAGCTCTAATGTTTCTAAATCATTGTTATCCTTAGATTGTAGTTCAACTAACAAACTTTCGGTTGCCTTTTCGTAATCACTGCATCCTTTTAGACTCGGTGAATCATTCTGTACTGTAGCGACCTTTATTTGTGGTTTACAATGAGTTGTTGTATTTAATTGTGTCCCTGAATTTTCAATTAATATCCTTTTAGGATTTTCCCCTCAATAGCACTTTTTAACTTTTTTGCGAAATGCACCACTTCTTTTAATTTTCTTCCATCGACTTAGTAAATCTGACATCTTCTTAAACGTTCGTGTGTACTTAAATTGACAACGTCCCACACGGTCAATATTAATTTAAAGCCTTTCTATTTCGTAGTAGGATCTATCATAACTTGTTTGTGTTAATACAGATCATTCTTCTTTTTTGGAGCTATATAAAAGCTTTAACCACCGACAAAATATCACTGTAACATAACTATTTTATATCGCACTTTTCAAACGCAATGTAAACTCCTTGAGCTAAAGTTAACTCGCTAAGTAATTGTTCTACTTCGCTTCCAAAATCATCAATTGACTTTTCTAATTGCCGAATTTGGTGAAGTTGGTTTGAGAGAACGGCTGCTGATTTCTGAGTGATGAAATTAATTCTAATGTCTTTAGCAAGTGCCTCCAAAGAATCATAACTTTTATTGAGTCCTATTTTTGCGTTTTCTGAAAGACGCGTTTTCAATACGAATTTAATTAAAAAATTTGTATCATTGAATCAATTAACGCTTTAGTGGTATTTTCTTCTCCATTCATAACTGGAAGAAGGCTACCAGCAGTTTTTAAACAAAATGATTCTCCCATATTGGTTTCAATATTTTCTAACCTCTCGTTAAGAATTTTTCTAATTTCCTCAAGTAATAATTCTATTGCTTTATTATAATTCTTAATTTCAGAAACTATGTCTATCTTTTGAACATCCTTTATAGCTAAACATTTTAAATTATCTAACCTTGAACTGAAACCAGCTACTTGACTAATTCAACGATTTATTAACTCTATATCATTACGCTTATCTTGATTATCTTTAATTTTATTAACTTTAAATGCCTTAACTTCATGTAATAAATTCTTAATTTCTTTTAAAATATCCATAAAATAATAAACAATAGTACTGACCGTTACAAAGACCACTCGGCACCTAAATTCACGAGTTAATCTGTACGAACGTTGAGTTCCATTAGTTCCTGGCTCCTGGTGATCTCTCTTCGAATTTTTTTCTCCATCCTCTTGTTGCATTTTATCCACACAAAACGACCAATTATAATGATGAGCAGCAATCCCACAAGGAAAACTCCTATTTCCCACATTGTAAATGTTGTCCCAAGGGTTGTGGTCGTGGTACCTCCGCTTACTGTTTCGTTGACTTTTTATCCTAATATGTTTTTTTTTTCTAATGCCAATTTATAATTGAACTGGTAGGGTCGCCATGTAATGTTTAAGCTCTTCTTTTCATTTCTGTATGATTTCTTTATGGGTTGGAGTGTAATTTATTTAAAATAACTTTTTTCTTTACTTTCTTTATTTAATCTTACGACGACTACATTACAGTTCTAAGTTTAACTTACTTCTAATTACCAATATAACAATCACAATTTATTTGTTGAATTGGCGAATATCGCACTCCTCGCACAAGTATGCCTACTCGTGCGTTTTTTTGAGTTTATTGACTTGATTAATTATTGTGCAATATCCGCCAACTACAAATACTTTACTTTCCATTACAGTTTCTATCATCTAATCTGTACTGTTTATACAAGGTATCCCTAACATTTATAGATCTTACTACTCCGTCCGTAATCCAAGGCTTACGCTTCCTATTTTTGGCAGGAATTCTCTTTCTGAAAGAAGCACCGTCCCTGTGATTAGTTATTTTGTCACTATAAATTTAATTGTATCATCAATATTCAAAGGAAGGTTTGTGAAATCTTGTGAACCCATAGTGCTAATAAACTTGTTATAATTAATTATGTTCCTGTACCTATTAGTTTCAATATTCTGATTACTATCACAACTATCAGGGAAATTCAGCTGTAAAAATACAGGACAGTGGTCTGTAATTTTTGAATGCGATATTATTGATAGAAAATTTTCCCGAGGGAGACAAGTTTTAACTAAGATGTGATCAATGAAAGACTAAGACACTAAGATGTGATAGATGAAAGCTTATTAAAAATGAATCTCAGATTCAATTTACCAAATTTTAATAGCACTTTTCGTTATCGAAATATATGCAAAAATGTACATTCCTCAAACTTTCAACCCCTAAAACTCAGCACAGGGGCTTTTACCGCACGTGTAAAAAAATACTTAAAGCCTTATTTTGGTTCATTCTATGCCTGTACCAAATTTCACCAAAATTGGCGTACCACTGTTGTGTTACTTCCCTTGTAAGGTCTCATTTGCAAAGGTACTGGAGATAATGAAGATAAGTACAGCTTCCTTCTTTCTATTATTCTTCTATCTGATTTTATTTTTTCAATTGGCCCTTTCTTTGAAAAAGCAAGCTATATAAACAAGGCTGTTAGGCTATGATTGACATTTTAATAAGTCAAAACTAGTTTCCAATAACTTAATGAATTGAAAAACTTTTGAAACTAAAATGTATATTTTTTTATTTCAGATCGCTAATAATGCCGATTATATATTTAAACTGAAAATTGAAAACAAAAATAATATTCCTGTAAGAATTTTATTAAAATCCGATAAATTTTCTTTGGTATTTTCTGAGGGATCACGTCATAATATAGATCCTTGTCAAGAAGCCATAATAACAATGTGTTATAAAACGGCTTACGTCGGCTACTACTCAACTAATCTCTACGTTATAGTAAACGAAAGCGCAGCACATGCTGTACCGATTATAACAGAAGTGGTTGCAAACGTTCTACAAATGAGTAAAAAATGTATTACGTTTACCAATAGAAATCTACAGGAATATGTCGAATTAACGAACATTTTGAATATACCGATACCGTTTTCTTGGGTGTGTATCGACCATAATTTTGGCGTTGAACCTGGTGTGGGAATGGTTGCACCAAAATCCAAACTTACATGCACTTGTCGATATTTTACTACAATATCCGGGCCAAATGAAACTGAAGGTCAATTATATTGTGGAGAAACCATGCGTCAAAAATTAAAATTTGAGTCGCAAATAACTTTACAAAATATTTCTGTTTTGGATAGAGAAATTGATTTTGGTGAGATACCCTTAAATGAGCCAGTTCTGAAATCAATTCTATTAAAAAATACCGAAATTATACCATTATCTTTCTTGGTTGAAGACTGTGAAAACTGTGTTGGATTAACTATATACCCTTTGAATGGCGTTTTACGACCAGCATGTGTTACAAATGTGTATGTAACTGCAAAAGTTCCCACTTGTGTGAAATTTAAATATAATTTAAGAATTTGTACAGTGGGAGCTGGTTACGTTGAAGTGTTGATAAAAGGAATCGTAATATATCCGAATGTGATTATTACACCAAATATAATAAATTTTCCTAAAATACCAGCAAGCACAACATCAAAAATTCAGTTTACGGTTAAAAACGATAGTTCAGCTTTGATTAGAGTCAACTTTAATTTAAATGAATATGAAGAATTTGATATTACGAATTCGGATGATTTATATAAATTTAAATTCGTTCAAGAAATAACTTTACATTCTCAAGAAACTAAAACTTTATTCTTAAATTTCCATCCATCCGGAATTCAACGAACAACATTTTATATTCCTCTTATTATTAATAACATACTTGGGCCACCAATTCTCTTGGATACAATTTCAACAAAAGTAAAGTATCATCTTACGGCGACGTTGGATGATTGTGTATATATTAAGACACCGGATTATATGCCGTGTGTAAAAATTCAAACACTCGTAACATCGCCGAAAGTAATTTTTTCGAAGACTGCTATTGAAATGTTGTGTACTTGTAATAATCCTCACGATGAATATATATTAAGTATTAAGAATAAGCAATCTGAAAAGGAGGGTATCTGTATTAGAATTGATAATTTAAAATATCCCGTTTATATGACGTATGAATCTGGAGCTGAAGTTGTTAAAACGAAATGCGCATATGCTACAACTTTGGACCCGGATGAGGAGACTCGGTTTCGAATTATCTTTAAACCGAATCAGGAGGATTTTGGAGAGTTTAGGTAAATTTTTAACTTTTTGCTTATTAATTTATTTTAATGTCTTGATATTTTTTAATTTTATTTAATTATGAATAGGGTAACCAAAAATATGTTCCAAAAATATTAGTTTAAGCGCTTAAATAGTGCGATAAGAATCAAAATATGATCTATAAAAGTACCTCAATTCCTCTTTGGCTACTCCTCTTCACCATATTTTAACTCGCAGAAGCTCGTGTTGAGAGTTCTCTTTGGTTGTCTACCTTCTTCCATCCTGCTACATGTTAGTAGCTAATGCAACCTTTGAAGTCTGATGAACTGTATGAACTTTCCATGTATTGTTTTCTTTGATCGGCCCCTGTATTATTCTTAATACTATCCTTTCAAATATGTTTACCATCGGTGCTAAAAGTCATTTGTTTTGTTTGCGATTTTTTTTCAAAAACTATCTGTAATCATACCTTCTTTTTGATAATTAAGCAGAGGTGGCTTGCGGCCGAGGCGTTGCGATATGATAATCAGTTTGAGGTAGATATGATAATCACTGAGCCCGAGGCTTTTTTTGTCAAAAGTGAATTTCACCTGATGAAGTTGAGGTCACTTGCGGCCGAGGTGCTGCAATATGATAATCAGTATCAGGTTGATATAATCTTAAGTGCTGAACCTCGACCACAAGCGACCTCGGCTTAATCAGTCAGAAGATCTACAAGTTCCTGTGTTATGTATTCTTATTCTAAAATATTTAGGCTAATAAAAAATTTAACTCGAAGTGTTTTGATTCATGAGTTTTAACTGTACAGGATGTCCCACGTAAGCAGTGAAGTACATAAATGGCATTAAGGGACCGAGATACGCAGTTCTCCCTTAGACAAAAGTTGTAGGAAATTTAGCACAATATAAACGGAAAATATTTTTATACATACAGGCTGTTCCATAACTAAAATAAACATGTTATTTTAAATGGAATGGTACAGTTTTTATTACGTATTCTGATTCTACGCACAAAGCTATGTTGACCAATAAGACACGTTGACTCCTAGTGCTTTTAGTTTTTGAGTTATTTTAATTAGAAGCTTTTTTTAGCAGTTAACACTGTGCTCTTCAAATCTGAATTTCTTAGCGACTGATCGAGCTAGAAAGTTAAAATTTGTGACAGTTGCTGTTTGGATCATACAAAGAATCTTGTTCATTTTTTCCTTAGTAGGCCATGAAATAAGACGATAAATAATTCTCAACCAAACTTCATTTATAAGTGTTCAAATATCAGCCCTCTGTGCTTTATGCATAGATGAAGTCGATTTACGAATTCGGCTTGCACATTATCTAGTGTTTCAGTAGAGATATTTCTAAAGCTTCACCGTATTCTATTCTTTATATCTTCTTTCGTCGTTGGAATATTAGCGTGCCACTTGGGTTTTGACATATCCCCAAAGGAAGAAGTCGTGTGGAGTTAGATTAAGCGATCTTGTTGGCCACGATATTGGACCTGCACGACCAATCCAATTTCTTCCATATTCAATACTTAAAAAGTTTTAAAAACATCCCTGAAATAATATGCAGGTGCCCCGTCGTCGTGTTGAAATATAATTTTTTGTCTAGTTTCTAAATCTACATCTTCTAGCAACTCTTCTTCTAAAAATATTTTGTAAATTTGTCCCGTCAGTATACCTAATTATTTTACGGTTAAATATTCCGCAACAAACATTTAACGACCATACATTATTTACGCTCCTTAGCCATAGAGGATTGCATAATAATACATATTACATATGTCGGTTTATTAACCCGTTGCTTTTAAAAGTAGCTTCATCACTAAATAGAATTGATGATATGAAATGAGGGTTTTCAATTAATTCATCTAAAGTTGTCAGAAAGCTACTCTGTTAGCAAAATCGTCTCCATGAAGTTCTTGGTGGAAATTCAAATTAGTGAGCTTTTACTTCTACTTAATAATAACTTTATTGACGATAATATCATTTATTCACATGATGATTTTCGTAGGTCAGATACATACAATAATAATAATAACAACATCAACAGACATTTCGTGTTTTTTCATCACATTTATCAATAAACACATTTCACTAAAATTAAATGAAACTAACATTAAACATGTTGGACGACAAATTTTCCCCAAGATAGTCGGAGGTCGAATAGTAAGGCTTCTCGAGCAGAAATCGTTTTGTCACGATCTTGAGACGCTCAACAGGTAACAGTACAGTCTCACGCGGTAGTACATTGACAATTTTAACGGCAATGCCATCAATATTCTTTTGACCCTTGTATAGTCTACTGAATTTAGGGTATTAAGTGAGATTTATTTCTAGTTTCATAGCTGTGCATGTCGCTATGTGTCATAAATTTATCCGCATTGTCTCGTACATATATGAGCCACTCGTAAATGTAAAAAAGAACAACAGAGTTGATATACTTAGTTCCACAAATGATCGGCGACAGTCTTCTTTATACCTTTTGTTATTTAATATCCTAATAGCTCTCCTCTGTAACCTAAAGACTCTCTCAAAACTAGATGCACAGCCCAAGACTACAAGAACGTAGGCTGTCTTCAAAACACGTCTCGAAACACTCGCACTCAAAAGGCGAAGAAAGTAAATGTTGGAACCAAGCTTTTTGCAAATGTAAAAAATGTAATGGTCCCAACACAGTTTTGAGTCCAAACCCCAAGAAATTTTACAGGGTTTTGCAATTGAAACTGCAATTGAGCGTGTTATCCGGATACTGCCGTAGCGAGAATATGGAAATATACGTTTTATCGGCTTTTAATTTTTTGCAGTTAAACCACAGTTCGACATCGTTTCTCGCAGCAGCACTTTCTGACACGGCCAAATCATTGATATATATCAAAAACAACAGTGGTCCCAAAATTGAACCTTGAGGCACACCTACCATAATTGCACACCTAGTTGACAGTCTGCCATCACATTTTACCACCTGACCTCTATTTGTTAAGTACGATCTAATTAATTTAACACTACTGTCATCAAAGTTGTATTTTTTAACAGGTTGACTGCGGAATTGAAAATTGTAGTATTGCACTGTGTGCGTTACCGGTCCCTGAGGACCGTTATCTTCTTTATCTCTCTGTGCGGTACCGGTCCTCGAGGACTAGTAATTACGTTATTGTTTATTTTTACTTAACGTGCGCATTTTTAAACATTTAATCAATCTGAATGGAGATATAGTTACTAGATATCAACAACTACCTATGTTTATAACCGCATTAGTCTAACTCAATCCTAAATAAGTTTTTGAAATTTTTGAAATTGTCACAAAATATAAAATAAAGGGAACCAGAAGATTAAATAGAGTTTATTAGAAATACATACATAGCAAAAATGTTATTTTTTGTGGCTTATATTGAAACATGATAAACACATTCCTGGTTGTCCAGGGCAATCATTACAATAACTTGTTACTTTAGTTACCAAATTACTTGCGTCTCTGCTAGAATACGTTTCCCTTAGATTGTTGTAGCAACCTTGACACTGTCTTCTTCTTTTTTTCCCTGGCCCTGATGGCTTTACAAATGTGTGCGAAACTCTTTTCGGTATCTTCTCCCTGGTTTCGTGAGGAGTAAAAACTAACTCTTGCGCAAGTCTTCTTCTAAACTCGGTAATAGACTGTTTTGAAGAACTAATTTTATTATGTATAATCCATGAATTTACAACAAACGTTCCAAATAAAATCTCGAACGCCAGCTTTCTGTACCATTTCAAACTTCGGCGTAACACTGAGTGGTATGACGACATTTGGTCGCTCAAATCGACCCCCTTTTTGGCTTTGTTGTATTGAATAACTGCTTTTGGTTTTATGATATCATCACCTTNAATAAGAAATAATTCTCAACCAAACTTCATTTATAAGTGTTCAAATATCAGCCCTCTGTGCTTTATGCATAGATGAAGTCGATTTACGAATTCGGCTTGCACATTATCTAGTGTTTCAGTAGAGATATTTCTAAAGCTTCACCGTATTCTATTCTTTATATCTTCTTTCGTCGTTGGAATATTAGCGTGCCACTTGGGTTTTGACATATCCCCAAAGGAAGAAGTCGTGTGGAGTTAGATTAGGCGATCTTGTTGGCCACGATATTGGACCTGCACGACCAATCCAATTTCTTCATAAGAACAGGTCGCTTATCCATCCACTTAATAATTCTTAGGGGACCGTTCTGTGCACCATAAATATCACCTTTTTTCATTTTGCTATGGAAACTTTTGGGTATACCTTTTCTGTTTGACCTTAGGGTCCCACAGTATTACATTATGATTGAATAGCGACATTGCTAAACCCAAGCTGGAGTAGAAATTGTCAGCATATAGATAATGTCCACGTTTATCTTCAAGACATTCTAAAAGGTCGTGCACTATTTGTTCAGAATGGCTTAGTTCTGGTGATGTTACGTTTTTGCTGGTATAGGCAATTATATTATTCGTATATCCATCCACGGTACATAATTTGTACAATTTGATTCCGTTTGGATTTCGTTTGGATTCCGGATGTGTTTTGTTCGGAATATATTGTCGAAAACACAGCCTGCCTTGAAAAGGAATCATGCTTTCATCAATAACTATCACCCTGCCTGGTGTTAAGACTTGTTTGAAATTTGTATTTGCTGCTTCTAATCGACTTCGTATTTTATACAGGGTGTCCCGCAACGATTGTACAATACTGCCTTAGCGTATTCTCTGATCGAAAATAGACAAGAAAAGTCTAATAAACATAGGTCCGAAAATGGACCAATTTCGAGATATTCAAAGTTTTAGTTTCATAAGCTGACCTATTGTAAATATCATTAATTCTAACGATTTAGATGCAGTAATTATATGATTACCATGGTTACGATGGTTAAGATAAAGTTTAATAAATAATAAGTTAATTAATACAGTTCATTAATAATTTAACAAAACAAGTAACAAAGATTGTTGAAGAAAATCGTTCAACCAGCATAAAAACAACGAATATTTAACAAATTGGAAAAGATTCATGTCATAATAAATGTT